TAAACATTGCATGTGTCCAATAAGTTTGTTATTGAGAATTGTTTGATATACCATGTATTGTTTATTAAATCATAATACAATAGTAATGCAATATTGTAAATATTAAAATTACAAATATATTAGAATTAAAATTATGTTTACTTGGACAAAAAATAAAATAAAAATAACATTGTTTACAATTATGTGATAACATGTATTTGTACACTAGTAGCATTCAATAATGAAGTAGTGGGAGAGTAATAAATTACTCTAATTAAAAAAATTGTATTAAATTTCAAATTTTGTTATACTTTCGTTATAATTATATTGAAATCTAATTAATGTACATTATACTATTGTAAATTATTGTTTCTTAAGCAATTCTACATATTAATGTATAAGCTATGAATGAATTAACTTTGCAATCATACCATTTGAATAAGCACAGATTTGCAATCAAGTCATATTCAGATTATGCAACTAATAATTTGTGTAAAATTAATAACAAAATTAAGCCAATAAATTATATAGTGCATAATACTAACTATATTAACGAACTTAATATAAACAACTGTTTTAAAGCTACTGTAATTAAAACAATGAAAAATATGCTTAATTTACGTGGGCTATCCATTATCATATGCCTGACAGGATTCATATACCAATCAGAGTTATTGATCGCAAACTACATGAGCGGACGTACAGTCGTGAACACATTTATCTGACGCCTAAATGAAGCGAAAATACCCGCCATTACTATCTGTTACCCGACTTTCGTATCGATGGAAAAATTTGTTAAAAAATATCCACAATTTAACAACTCTTATAATGAGTATCTTGGCAATTTTACGAATTTCTATTCTACGGATCGTTTGAATTATGATGTATTATATGAGAAATATTTTTCTAAATTTATGTCGCATTTGGAGACGATTAGGCTATCGGTTCACGAAGTGTTTGATGAGATAAGTATTGATTTCAAACCCCAACACTCTTTGACGTTATATGTGGTCGACGCCAACACCGAAAGGACCGACACCTATGATAACGCTATTTACGATTACAATCCCATTGAATCGATGACTACTGCACCGCCTATTCGTAAATGTTTTACATTTTTCAGTTATTTAAACGACAGGTGGCGTAACCTAACGATCGGAATACAGAACTATTTTATAAGGATCTATGATTTGAATACATTGTTTCCTACGAGCGAAACGTATCGTATGTCTCACTATTGGCTAAGTATCCATTCATCAAATATGATCCCGGCATTAAATAATAAAAGTTTTGTAAAATTAACAATGCCATCTAATCCGCACGTTACCTATTCGGAGATACAGGTGCGCCGCCTACTGCCACCTTATGTCACAAATTGTCATAATTATAATAAACCCGACGCACAGAATATTCTGGAGTTACGAAACGATTGTCTCGTGAAATGTGTTCACAAATGCCTCCGAGATATGTGTCGATCCCCAGAATTCGTAGGTATTCCCGAGTTTTTGATACACAAAAAATATTATCAAAAATTTTATAAATCAATTGATTTTAGTCAAAGTAAAAATACCACTATTAGTAACTGTGTTGATATTAATGGTACAATTTGCGAAAACAATTGCAACGACAACTGTCCCGACAATTGTGTGGATCGGGTCTATAATTTCAATGTTATTGAGGGGGAGGGCTCTGCGAACACAATTGAGTTCAATATTGAACACAACCGACTGCCCGATCAGGTGTTCATAGATGTGCCCGAAATTCACTTAATATCGTTTTTGTCGCAATTTGGAGGGCTGCTAGGCATGTGGTTAGGGGTATCAATATTATCGTTATGGAGTAATGTTAATGAATATTCACTAAAAATTTTACGAAAAACACGAATTAAAATTTTGAAAAATAAAAAACATGATCATGTTAAATTTTCACTGAATATAATAATTGTATTACTATGTTCATGCGGATTTATATTACAAATTAAGCAACTCATGGACCAATATTTAAGTGGCAACACTATTGTAAATACTAGAGTTGCTAGATTACGGGAAACCAAAATACCTGCCATCACCTTATGTTTTCCGACATTTCTATCAATGGAAAAAGCACAATTTTATATGAATGAGAAAAATCGAGATAAAGTTTTCATTGATACCAAATATGCTGAAAATACAAATCAATCATTAACCAAACTTACCTTTATCAGTTATATTCTGAATTTGATAGTAAATACGATCAACTTTATACTATAAATCCTACAATTAAACAAATTTTTCAAAATCTTAGTTTTTCATTACATAATCTAGCAGTGGTTAAAGTATTTGTAATATCATCAAGTATCAGAAATCACACTGATATTATTATTACAGACACAGAACCAATTGAGACGATAACATCTGTATTGCCATTGAAAAAATGTTTTACATATTTCAGTGATTTAAATCAAAAATGGAGGCAATATTTGGCAATTATTAAAAATATAACGATAACATACTATCACCAAGATCACTGGTTTCCAAATTACCCAGAATATCAAACATACGAGATTAGTATCCACTCACAGAATATGATTCCGGAATTAAATCGGGAATACTTTTCCGAATTAAAAATGGGAACAAAAGTGTTGATTACCTACAATGAAATACATATCCAACTCCTACCAGCCCCTTACGACACGGACTGTCTTAATTATGACCATGATAATAAAACTTATTTTAAACTGCGAACAGATTATTTAATTGATTGTGTCGACCAATGTCAAGCGGAAAGGTGTCATAAATTGGACCAAGTTAAACCTGCTCAAATTTATATATTTGGTGGTTTGCATCGACGTGAACGTTACCTGGATCAATTGAATGCAGATGAAACATTGTGTAGAAAAAACTATGAAAGGCAGGAGAATTACATTGGCTGCTTATATAGCAGAAAGTGCCAAGTTAAATGTGCTAGATTATATCGACCCGATTGTTGGAAACATATTTATAATTATAAAATAAGTCAAACATCAACCTCAACTAATAATAATAAACTTGAAATAATATTGCAGCATAATGGATTCCTTGATCAGATTTTTATTCACAAACCTGAGATGACCTGGATAGAATTGGTATCTAATTTTGGTGGCTTGTTAGGCATGTGGTTAAGTGCGGCAATCATTTGGATTTTAAATGAAATTATCAATATAATTTTTAAAGACTGGGATCGAAAACATATCTAAAATAATGAATATTAAAATATTAGGTATCGCACAAAGTTTTGCGAGGTACGATTTATTCAGCAATGGATAGAGATATTGAATATATTTTTGAACCTCAACTATGGTTTTTACTCATATGTATTCTCCCGAAGAGACTACTAGATTGGAGCACCGGTATTAATATTAGGTATCGCACAAAGTTTTGCGAGGTACGATTTATTCAGCAATGGATAGAGATATTGAATATATTTTTGAACCTCAACTATGGTTTTTACTCATATGTATTCTCCCGAAGAGACTACTAGATTGGAGCACCGGTAGTTTTGCAAAGGTAGCTATAATGTACAGCAAAAACTATAAGTCCTAGAAAGACAAGCGACATATCGTTGGAAAGAGCATAAAAAATGATCGAACCCGTGTATCGGGATTTCCCTGGTAAATTTATCAATAAGGGACAGGGCGGCCCTGAAGGTCATGATTTTGCAAAAATTAATTTAAAGGCAAGATCTGATTAGGTCATTAAGATCTACTCATTTTTACTTATTGTAAACTTAAACCTTAAAATATTTATAGAGGTATTTATGGACTCGATCTATTGAACTTTTAAATATTGTTAAAACTACTTAGACATTTTGTATTTCTAAAACTAAACGGGATCTATAGTTATTTCTCAAGATATCTTAAAAGTTTAAAATTCTAAACTTATCTCCTTTTGAAGCACATTATGATGGTCTAGTCGGATTTGATCGTATTTTTATTTATCATTATTTTATTCAATATTCTTTCTTACCGGGTCTTCCTGTCCCTTATTGATCAATTTACCAGGGAAATCCCGATAGACGGGTTCAATCATTTTTTATGCTCTTTCCAACGGTGTGTCGCTTTTCTTTCTAGGCCTTATAGTTTTTTCTGTACATAAAAGCTACCTGTGCGGAGCTACAGGTGCTCTAATCAAGTAGTCTCTTCGGGAGAATACATAAAAGCAAAAACCATAGTTGAGGTTCAAAAATATTTTTGATACCAATATTGGTTGTTGAGAAATTAATTTTTAAGCTGCAAAATCTACCTCGCAAAACTTTGTGCGAAACCTAATACTTGTGAGCACTCGGGAGGGTTGGGTCGGCATTGGATTGGACCTAACTTTGGCCGATAATCTCAAGTTGTGAATCAAATACCACAATATATTCACGAATTTAAGTGTTAATATTTTATTAAAATTATATTGAGATGTCAGACTAAATTATAATATAAACCCATACGAATATACATATCACTGAACAATTTTCAATTTCATTGGGAAGAAATGTTCCCCTAAACTTAAATATTGCCGGAAAGAAGATTATAAAGTGATAATTATAGTGCGTTCATTATAAAGTGATTAATTTACTAATATTTTCTAAACGACTAGAATCGCAAGAATTATGTTTTTATGATGACTTTCAATGATCACAGATTCCGCCACAGAATCATAAATTTGAGTCAAATATTAATATATTATATAACACTCAGAAAAGTGAAACATTTTTATTTCAATATTTAGTAACAAATAATTATGTAACATATCAAATACAGTATTTGCGAACACATTATTATTAAATAATGTGAAATACATTTTATTAAGTAATAAATAAAACAGTAGAAATGAATTAAATAAACGAAATATATATATATATAAGTTAATTAAACAATTAAGTAAAATACAGAGAAAATATAAAAGGTGCAAAATGTAGGCTTCACCCGATCAGTCTACCTAGAATATTTTTAGACTACTGGGTGTCGACACCACCCTTCGCCCTATGGCACCATGCGATTCCATGTGTCAACTAATTTAGACTTTATCAGTCTCTGTGTCTAATAATAATTGTTAAAAATTGATAGAAAAATGAGTTTTCATTGGATTTCAGTCTATATAATGTGGACTCAAATTCTGTATCGTTTGCCACAATATTCTTATCGATAGACCACTCGTTATATTTCTGCAACACTTCACTACATTCCGTACGTTTAGGCCACTTGTGGGTCACCATTGAGTCCAATAGAGTTTGCAACTGAAGTGCCGACGAGTTTAGGAGAGTATGTGTTGTTGAATACGGTTGTCGACTAAATTAATAAACATATTTTCATTTTGAAAATTAACATTAAAAAAATGCCAAACCTATCTAAATCAATAAGTAACAAGTCCACGTCAAATATATTACCACCAATTAGTGCCAGGCTATAAATGTCTGATTTATGGCCATATTTTCTACCCTCACCAATTTCCGGTGCCTGGTATCTCATGTCCCCGATATCTGCCATATGTTTACGTGTAGTCCTGTAGTGAATGCGTTTGTCGTGAACTGTAGCCAAACCAAAGTCACATAACTTCAAAAGCCTGCCGTTCTTTACGTTGTGTGCAATTAATATGTTTTCTGGTTTGAGATCTCTGTGAATGACCGGAGGATTCAATTCATGTAAATATTGAACGCATTCTAAGATCTGACGGAATATTTCACACGAAATAAAATACTCGTATAAATCCATGGGATCTCCCGCTTGTCGACCAAATACTTGTGGTTTCACTTCAATAATATTCTGCAGACTATGGGAACAGAACTTCATTTGTATGTAAAGACATCCGGTTTCACGCCATGAGTGGTAATATTGGACCACATATTCAGACTTAACTTTTTCCAAATTCTTTACTTCTTTGACTACATTTTCGGTTTCTTTTTCATCAAAATCTGTGTAAAAATATAGTTTTAATACAATTTAGATTTCTATTATATATTTATAATAAATATTACCATTAAATTTAATGTATTTGACGGCAAATACCTGTCCATCATATTTGTGTTTCACTCGCAATACTGTCCCAAAACCACCCGATCCTTTAACTGACAACTCATCAAATGTTTTATCGTAACATTCATTAAAACATTTATAATCAATAAATGTTTTGTAAGTAATTTGGCATTCATTAGCGTAGAAATCAATAAAATTATTATAATTTGTTTCAATCAATTGATTTCCCCTTATTTCATATACCTTGCTGTTTGTCAACACAACTATGGGTTTATTATAAAAATCATAGTAATCCGAGTCAATTTGTGGTAAATCTATAAAATAATTGCTTGTTTCCAATTGTTCTGGTATCATTACATTAATAGTTTTATCATTATTATTGGAATAATGTCCACAAAAACATGTGAAACCACTGTTTGATAGGAAATAAGTCATAGATTGTGATGAAGTAATAGTTTTGATGTCATTTATAGTTAGGCCCAAATAAAAGCGGACAAAAATATTTTATTGAAAGTATAGGGTGTCACATTGCATTACAACTAATATTAATAGTTTATACAATATTTCAATTAAAAATAAATTGATTATATTTTGCAAATAAATATTTTGAAAAGTTCCCCTTATGAATGCATAGATTGTCATCATTTTTGCACAAATTATTCATTGAAATTAATATTTTGTCACTTTCGGCCATATTATTATTTAAATTAATAAAATTTTGTGTAAACGGTATATTCATTGTATTTGATTTAATGTCACAAAAAGTTTAAATTTAATGATTTGAAGAGTTCGCGTCAATGCTTAGACAAAATGCAAGTGTTTTGTGTTTAGGGATTGAATGCGAAAATGCAGCGAATTTGTCAATGAATTGCAATTCAATTGATTGGAATTAATGTAAAATAAGTGATAAAATCAATCACAATCCAATTCCAACACTATTAATACAATCAACACTTATCACTATTTCCACTGTTTTTAGTCTAAATTTCACTTCAAAACTCGATATAATAAACTGATTTTATAATTTAATACATCAATTAAAACATTGAAATAAAATAAATAATAAATTGCTTTCAATCACAACACCATTAATAGACTCAACACGTGCTTTCAAATCACATGAAATATTTTATAAACATTTCACACAAAATAAGTCATAAGATTGTTGTATCTATATTGTACACCCTTTACTTTCATATAAAACCTGTTTAATGCAGTAGTTTTATACCTATACACTCCGCTTTTATTTGGGCCTATTTATAGTAGATATGAGTTTAGGACTAAATATACGTTTATTCACTATATTGAAGTGGTCGAGACGTTAGGCTACCGGCTCTTAAGGCCGGTGCCTTAAAATGAACGTATAATATAAGTGGGCTTTAAATATAACTTTAATTTAGTCACAAATACAATGAATATAACTGTGAGCTTGTTACAATAATAATAGATACTTAATGATAGATAATACAGTTTGTGTGCTAGCTTATATAGATTTACAAAATATGTTTAGTTATAAACATCATTATTTTAATTACTTTTATATCCTTTAGTTAATTGACATTTTACTGTAAATCAAAAGTTATGTAAATTTTTAACAGGGAATAATTTTATAAACAAGATCGTTTAGACTTTAGATTTATAAACATAAATCATTTGATTCTAGATCACCACAATATTGTGTCCCAATTGATGGTCACTATTATGACCCCAACTGTACACAAGTGCGTCACATGTGATGGCATATGAATAATGATAATTGCAATCAATTGTTTGAATTTTAGGATTATTTGTAAACTGTATTAGTATTGGTTCACAAATACTATCATTTTGTTGTTCTCCACAATCAATCTGTCCCTCACTATTACGCCCCCACCCATACACCTGTCCACTGGATGTGAGGGCCAGTGAGTGATGTTCACCACAACTGATTTGTTGGACATCTTTGTGGTGGAAATACAATATTCTCTCGGGTTTTAAATAAACCCATAAACCCTATTGGGTTTCACATCTCTACCCAACTGTCTAAACCTGTTGTGACCCCTACTATAGATGTGGTTCACATTATTCATAGCCAACACAAAGTCATATCCATTAATAAATGTATGAATGTTTTGATGACATAATTGTGGAATAAGTTGTGGTCATGTAATGGACTCTTTGTGACCCAATCCAAGACATCCATAAACATTAGACCCCAACCCATACACCATATCATCGGTGGTTACGAATATGATATTATGAGATAATATATTAAATGCAAATCCATGCGTAAAAACATGAAATAATTTAACTTCTTGTTTCATATTTGAGTCAATTTCATCACAAATTGTAAAATTCTCTAAAATTGAGCACATTTTCAAATTGAAACAAATTTGAATTTGTATTAACTGCAATAGTATTTAATTTGATCTACTTAATAAGCAATTATTTATTACATTAATTCTAATTAATTAGGAATCACACCAAAATAAAATAATTGTGTATATATTATACTTATATTTACTAGATTAATCAAGTTTTGTTGGTTGTTAGCAATATGTTGTGTCATAACAATGGGTTTGTAAGCGGGAGGCAAAAGTGATTAACGGTTTTTGATTTATTTTATTTATTTTGTATTTGAATGTATTGTTGCACTGCTAAGTCTACCAGTAGTTGGCATTTATATCCGTTACAGTGTTGGCGCGTGAGACGTGTTGTAAATACAGTAATACTGTATCTATTAAGTTGATGATTGCTTTATTGGTCAAATAGGTAAGGTTAGGTAGGGGAAAGGGATCAGATTATGGTTTTATACCAGTTATGTTGGACTAGTTCATACTTAATAATATTTTCAAAACTAATTCAAATTATCGTTTGTTAAATATTTTAAATTTAAAACTCATTTTATATTAATTTACTGAACAGTATTGTAATACATGAATGCAATTGTTGTTCACAAATAGAAAGTGTTATTATAGTAACAGATATTAATCTGCAATCAATTCACTCGTATTGTATTAATATGTCTTAAATGCCAATCAATTGTATATTATTTGGAAATACTTTTGTTTAACCTTTGAATTGTTAGATAATAAATAAGATATTATTATAACACAGGGATGTCCAGGAGGGTAGGGATAAGAAAGTGATGGATGACTAGGAGTGAACGGGCAATAGGAACAGTAGGTCATCATTGATGAGGACCTGACTGTCCGCTTAATATCTAAATGAGACGGGTATTCAAAATTTGAATTTCAAATGGTTACCGAGTGCTCCCATTTTCTCATACATACCCCTTACCCATACCCTCACTCATATATAATTCAACTCCCGTTCCCCTTTGAAATGTCTTGAATTTTGTGAGTAATTCTTGTGTTAAAAGAGTTTTTGATTTAATTAATAAAAAGTCATATTTTTGCACTCATTTACAATGTTTTAGTGTTTTTTGTCGAGATTTTTAGATAAATACTCTGATTTGTAAACTATATTATATTCAAATGATTCAATGGATATAATGTAGTGTTTAATTATACTGTAGTTTTATACTCAATTTTTGTGGTAATTTTTGTCAACTATTTTCGTGTAATGCCTAAATAGCAGGCTATCTTTTGTCGAAATAGATATTGATAATTTAGCTATTATATGATTAATCTACATGTATTTTTAAAAATTTAGAGCAAATAAAATTGTCCGAATAGGTATCGGGTATATTTTTTATTAATTTTTCTAATAACGGATAAAAGCGTTAAAATGAACATTCTTGAGAAATATGACCTAGTATTCACACTATACTGTAAAGCATTATATAGTAATACTGGTCATTAATTATTCACAGATCGATTAAATGTTACCATAAATAATGAATCATTATAAATGAATTCAAAATTAACCCATCATATATAATTAATAGGTAAATAATAGGTATATTAATTTAATATTTTAAACTATTTTAATATATAAAAGGCGTTATTAATACCTTGGTTATTATAATGTTTTGTTTACAAAAATCAATTGTGTTTAAATATTATTTCAAATAATAAATACAAGTAATTGTTTAATATTTTGTTATAAACTCATATATTTATATAAAATTATGAAGTAATTTGCATACAGTATATGTTACAATCTATAAATTATTTTTGAATATATAATTGGATACATAAATTATTTTACAATGAGTGCTATTTGTGTTCAACAAGTATTGGCAATAATTACTAATATAATTAATGGCAATCAAGTTAATTGTGATAATGATTTGTTCAAAATAAGTGAAAAATCATTAGATTTTATTGACAATTTGGTGGACAAATATAATAAAATGAATAGCAATACTAATACTAATCAAGAATATTCTTATGAAGTTTATTGTAATGATAAAAGTGACACAGAATATTCTACTACTGAAACACGTTCTGACAAATTGAGCATGACTTATCAAGATATTTTGCATATTGCAAATTATATGCAAAAATACCCAAACCATAGTTTTAAAACCCTTAAAAGTAAATGTTCAAAATGTGATACACTGGAATTATTTTATAGAATTAAGACTTATTAAAAATAATTTCATTGGATTTAATAATTTTAAAGCTCAAGAAATCAAAGAATATTTATATAAAGTGTTTGTCGAAAAACGCAAGAATTTTCTTCATATGTCGGTTAATAAACTAAAATTATTAGCAATTAAAAGATCCGGTGAAATAAATTTTAATAATTTTTGTGCCAGCATTACTTTTATAAATACTTTTAAAAAACTATGATATTACTAGTCGTAAAGTGACCAAGTATGTGACCAAAAAAAATGTTGAAAACAAACTATTAATCCATAATAAAATTAAAGAATTTCGTGACAATTTTGATAATAATTATAAAAATGCATTTAATTGTGATATGATATTAAATGCAGACCAAACTCCATTTTTCAAAGAATTAGTCCCTAAAAGGACCTTGGAATTTAAAGGACAAAAACGAGTTAAAGTAAAAATTCAAAGTAAACAAGCAATGACACACTCCTATACTATTATGCCCACTATTTCAATGTCTGGTAAAACTTTTGGCAAATTATTTATTACTTTCTAAGAACTCAACGGAAAATTTGGTGTACATGTGTTACCACAAGTTAGG